CCAATACTACCCTTCAGTTATTTCTACAACTTTCTTTCTTTCCTCCCAAATATCATAATTTCCTGAATTACAGGCTCAATTCTTAATGAAATGAATGAGTAAAATAGGAACAACATGAGAAAAAGTTCATTGTGATCTTAGTTGGATCTACATTTCGGTTAAAGTTGAAAATGCTAAAAATTCTTGCATTATGGATTGGTGGGAGTGTATTATTTGTATCTTCATTTCAGTGTTCAATTGTCGTTGTCCTTTTTACTTGCAGGTACATCCTTTGCAATATTATTTGAAAGGGTGGAACTGAGTAATTCACCAGATAGATAGAGAGTTAAGAAAATCATTGCAAGCGGTGTTGCTTCTGGTAGCTACATAATTCTGAGTACAGCCATTTTTTTCAGGGCTGCAACACTTCCAGACTTCTTTTCAGTGAGCTCTCTTTCTTCCAGTTTATGTACGTTATTTTGGTGTTGAATTTGTTAACTGATGTTTTAGTACATGGGCAGTATAAATTCTGAGGTAGATCGCTGATGGGCTCCGATGAAGAAATTAGAGCTGCTTTGTTCCTTCAGATGAGCATAGTGAACCAGGCTGTACTGTTTGTTCATTCTGACAACTGCTACCTTATCAGATGTCCTGGACCTGTTGTAGCATGTACTTTTATTTTTACTCAGATGGTGAGCTCATTTCCTCTTATGTATGTGTTTTTGTTGAGACCCTTCAATGACTGCCTGATAATTTCATCGAACTTCTGCCTTCTTGTCAGCATGATAATTTGGCGCAGGATCAATGTGTCTGGCTAGGGATGATTGGCTAACAGTTGACAATGTTAAGAGTTAAGCCATTGTATGAAATAAAGCTTGTGCTATTAACACATTGTTCAAGTAGGATGCTCATGCCATTCTTTCCTCCAATCAGTCCCCCGCCCCCTGAAAGAAAAGAAAACAGATTTGTATTCATCCTATGAAGATCATGTTGTGTAGAGATAGTAAAGTTTCTTAGTGCTAGGTATGTTTCTTCTCGATACTCATCATATCAACTGTTTTCTGTCAGGTGGCAACCCATAAAACTGTATATGGTGACTTGGATTTGGCACTACCAAAGGGTGTTGGTTGCCTCAGAGCAGGATTGATATGGTTGTACAACTTTGTGGTGCTCATGACCCCTGTTTTAATTTGTAAGTTTGCTAGACATGGGATTACTTGATGTTCTTTCCTTCAACCCTCTGTTGCAACAGTAACTAATCTTCTGCTCTTCGGCAGGTCACACATGGAGGCGTGCAAACATGACTAGTGAAAAGTTGCTGACAATATGCATACATTCAGCCATCTTGCGTATAGCTTTGCTCTGGTCACTGTATGCAATACTTGATGTCAGGCTGCAGCAGCCGGGCTCTACTTAGATGCCTCAAGTGTAGGAAATATTCTTGTAGCCAGTCATTTTTAAGTGTATAACCTGTAAATCCTTCAAGTAAATATATCTGGATCGCAAAGTTATACATCGATCCCTCTTTTGTCTTTATTCAGAAAACACAATTCCAGTGTCACAATGTTGTACAAAAGTGCATTTCACTTTTATCTTATGATTTACCTTAGATCTTTTCTGATATTTTTTAAATTCTTTTGTTTTTCACCTTAAAATCAATTTATGGATTCTAACCCTTCTGATGTCTTATTATTTGCCCTGTACCATGATGTCAGCTAGCTGAAAAGAGTTCAACACCAAGATGGCGCCTTACTGAAAGTACTAGGTTGAAAAGGTCAACCTCAAGTGTGAAGATTAGTAGATATATCAAAATCGAACTAATAATCATACTCTCTCTTTTAATTGTTTGTCATCTAGACAGTATAGAAACAATAAATACAGGATGTGTCCTGTAAAATCCCTTGAATACAGTGAAAATATATATTTCCATCCTGTAAAATGATATTCGTCTGAACTGTCATTCAGGTAACTGCGTAATGTATCGACTATTACGACTGCGACGCAACAACTTCAGGAGTCCTTCGTTGATACTTTCTACATTTCCAAGTGATGCGTAAAGATATCGTATCTTACCACATTATGAGTTAATTTGGTTATCGCGGTGACACTTGTGCAGGTCATGCGTGGCCATGGTCGCTGGGGACTGGGGAGACTCTCCAAGCCTGCATTTGCATATGCCCAATTGGCGCCTGCCTCAGCAATAGTTATATGGTGGTGCAGTTGGCATGTGCGGTGGTGGTTGTTGGCAGGTGAGTTCCCAGCGTCATTCTTAGAAAATATTGTTATATTGCAGATATTTATACAGTAGCAAAAAATGTGTTGTCGGATGCGCAACGCTGGTATCGTAGTGGCATGCCTGCGTGCATCACTCTTGAAATGTCATTTCAATTTTAAACTATGATGTAGATATTTATATTTATGAAGTGGAGAATGTGTTGTCAGATGCACAGGAAGTCCATTGCACTATAGGAAGGTTGCATCATCCTTAAAAGTATTCCACCAATTTTAAAAATGTGTTGTCAGATGGGCATTGGAGCAGGCGAGGCTCGCATCACCCTGTGAATTATAGAAGAGGGGTGGTTAGCAAGATATGAAGTTATATAGCAGAAACTATCTTGGGATTGGTTGGCCATTTCCTGCGGAGAGAGGCCGTTAATTACGTGTAGCTTTTGTTGACCCTTTTTCCTTGCCAGTGAGGAGAATATACCTATCAGGTATTTTCCTCGTGTATTCCGCACCTTCTCTTTTGAAATGCATAATGGGGGCAAAGATAAGACTTGCTAAATATTCTACATTACTAGACATCAAGTTCCAGCTCATAAATTTGAGGGTCTGAACAAACTATACTTCTATTTGAAGATTCTTCTGTGTTGTTCTTAACCTGAAGGTGTGGGGGTTCAAGGTTTAAAATCTCGCGACCGTTCTTTCTCTTACAAAGGGGAAATGCTCTCTTAAAAGGTATCTATCTATTGGAGGGTAGATAATCGTTAACTCCAACTGGCCATCGTCAACACTTTTGCGTAAACATGTCATTCCGCTCATATATAATTGCTCTGGTTAGCTTGAATATAATCGACTTCTAATGCCGTGCACATAATCGATAGGATATTTGAACCATAAATGAGACTTGTCTAGACTCACCGCCCCTCTGTTCTGAACTTAGTTTTCTAGGTGGCTTCAACAGTTAATCACTTGAAGCAAAATCCTTGATGCTATTTGCTTTTGTTTACAAGTAGGACATGAGTGTCTATTCTGTTGGGTGGGCTGCTGTCTTGGTAGTAGTAAGACAAAGGGTGTGAGGTTAATTTATTGTTAGTATACTATTCCAGTAGAACAGGTGTTAGATACTATGATTGCCTTTTATGCTACAAAACTAAAGCCAGTGAGATTTGCCATTTGGAAAGAGACGCTTGCTTGCTTGTCACCATTCTTATAACAAGAGACAGAGGACCTGATTCCCTGTCTCTGGGAGTTCCCAACAGCTGCCTAACAACACTTTACTACATTTTAGTACTAGTAACAAACAAGCTTATGATATATTTATGGTTGTATTTCCTCCATCCCAAAATAAGTGCCTCACCTTTATACTAAAGTTGAGACACTTATTTTATAAAGTTGTACTAAAGTTGAGACACTTATTTTGGGACGAAGGGAGTATTATATAGTGATTAATTAGGAGAGAAACCGACAGGAGATTTCGTTTCTTTTTTCCTCAAGCACCACCTGCCACATACATACACAAGATGACAAGATAACATTACTTAAATTCCCTTACATCTTGGCATATATATGCATAATGCATGCAACCACATGTGTTGCACTTGCATATATACATATGTGTTCTCTGATCTGATGAAGCAAATTCATTAATCCATGCAGATCACCGATACAGTCCACAGTGCACTGCTTAATTAATTAGCGCACCGCGCGTGATAATCATCTCCCTCCCTCTCTTCTCACCATACATACATATACTAATTAATCAACAACGCACACAGCAATTAACACACATACGAAAGCGGAGGCTATGACCTATACGTACGTACGTACAAAGTGCCCGTATATACGCTTGTGTATGCACATACGTATGTACAGGCTGCTGGTATGTATAAGGAAAGTGTATATTGCATATAGTTGGATCGTCGGCGGTGGCGAGGGCGATGTTGGTAGATGGGTAGGGTGGCTACATCTTTCCGATGAGGGGGATGCCGACGGCGGTGACGATGAGGGTGGAGGGCACGCCAAAGATGAGGTGGTTCCAGAAGGTGAGCTCATAGGCGTTACGCGGCGCCCGACGCGCCTGCTCACACACGATCAGGTTCGCCGCCGACCCCAGCAGCGAGAGATTCCCTGCCACCGTGCTCACCCACGCCAGCAGCAGCCACGACCGCGTCACCGCTGCCGGCGAGATCAGGGCCGCTGCGGTCGCCACCTCGTTCCCCATCAGCAGCACTGCACATACCAAAAACACATGACCGTCACTTACACCGCCGGAGCTTTTTGGGAGGGGGGCAGTGCCCCCCTACATTAATTTGCAACTCTATAAGATTAGTACTAGTGATAGTTAGAGTATTTAAGTAAATGAAGATAAAAATATTCTTCCTAGAATTACTAAATTTGTGGGTCTTTTGATGCTGGCCACTGGTCACTTATCACAAGTAACACCAAATTAACTATTTAAGCTAGCTAGAGTCTACTGACTGAGTGTGTGATGACTAGATAGCAATTTGGTCCGTTTTATACTTTAAAATTTGCTTGTTGTATTCAAAAGAAAATCCATGCATCATGCATGCCTGCGTGTGCTAACTGCAGCCGCACCAACATAATTTAATTACTACTTTCATTAGTTTGGGTTATTATTATATGCAGAAATTGATATTTTCCATAACTCTTTTTAGATCAATATATTTTCTATTACTTTGAGTGCTTTGTCCTGTCACAGTGTCACCCTTCTAAGTGTGACAAATTAGCTAGCCAGGTGTGTGGGTCCATGTATGTGTGTTTTAAACTCCTAGAATATATTATTTTTTCTGTACATATTTGTTGTACAAAATCCATGCATGCATATGTATACCTGTTGGTACGTTGGAGGCGAGGTTGGAGAGGAGGAGGATGATGACGGAGAGCACGGAGATGCCGCCGGCGCTGTCCACCTTGGAGTAGGGCGCCATGAAGTTCCAGATGGCGCCCGGCAGCCCCGTCTTGTTGAACCCGCTCACCGTGATGAACATGCCGGAGAAGAAGACGAGCAGCGAGTAGGAGACCTTGACGAGGCACGGCTCGGCGTCCCGGAAGTCGACGACGACCAGCGCGATGGCGGTGGTGATGGCCGTCCACGACATGTTGAGCCCAGCCATGTAGGCCACCACCATGCCCAGCGTCACGATGTAGGCGAAGCTCTTGAGGAACAGCTTGCGTCGGTGCTCCGTGCACTGCATGAACCACGGGTGCTTGGTCGAGATGTTCTCCTCCATCATCGACTCGTTGCCGTCGTCGGCCGTGGTGCCGTTGAACGGGTGCGGGCTCTTGAGCGACGCCACGGACGGCGAGCGGCCGCCCTCCTCGACGACCGACATCTGCTTGCCGGCCGCGTCGGGGGCCACACCCTCGAGGTCCTTCCAGTACATGCAGAGCAGCATGACCATGTTGACGGCCATGCCGGCGAGCATGGCCGGCAGGATGCCGATGAGGAACCTGGGGAAGGAGATCTTGCTGTTGAAGGCGATGACCAGGTTCTGCGGGTTGCCGATGGGGGTGGCGCTGGAGCCGATGTTGGCGCTGGAGGCGAGGGCCAGGAGGAAGGGCTTGGCCGGGAGGTTCCGCTCGGCGGCGAGCTCGAGCACGAACTCGGTGAGCACGACGCAGCAGGTGTCGTTGGTGAAGAGCGCCGAGGCCAGCGCGGTGACGACGCAGACGCGGCAGAGCAGGTCGCGGCCGCCCTGGCTCTTCCAGGCGAGGAGCGTGCCGAGGTGCTTGAACATGCCGGCGTTCTTGAGGTAGCCACCGACGACCATGGTGGAGAAGAGCAGGCCGAGGATGGGGAGGTCGATGGAGGCGTAGGCGTCGTCGGGGCTGATCACGTGGAAGACGATCATGAGCACGGCGGAGAGCAGCGAGCCCGCCGTGCGGCCGATGGGCAGGAAGGGCACCGACGGGAACACCGCCATCATCCAGAAGACGGCGAAGGCGATGGAGCCGAGCACCACCTTGGGGAGAGACGCGAGCGCCATGGCTGGCCGCCGGTGTTGGGAGATGGAGCTATCTAGTTAAGGTGGCTGGTTAGTGCTCTGCTTGGTTAGTGGCGCTGCACCTCGAAGGCAGTGTGCATGCACCGGTGTGGTGGCTGGGCTGGGTTGTACTGAGGAGGACGCTCGTGGATCGGGGGTATATGTAGGGCTTGGCGGGGTGGTGATGGCATGGAAGGTTGGAGCGGCACTCCACTGTCGCTAGCAGGGTAGGGTGCAAGGGCCCAAGGGGCTAAGAGTCAAATGGCGTGAGATCAAAAGGGTAATGTAAACTAAAGGCGCCGCTCACGCCGTCACCGCCCAATGTACGTATGCACTGAGATATTATTGGCCCAAAACTATCTACTACTCCTGGCTAGGTGTAAGAAAATACATACATATGAACTTGGACAACGTACGTATCACCAACCAATGTGTATGTATGCACTTGGACAGCACTATGTACGTACGGCGCATCATAGGCTTAATTAGGGTACCCCCCACACACAAAAAAAAAACATTCTCCAAACCTATTTGTTGTCGATGTGGTCTCATCCGCGCCCCTCCCTCTCTTTTCTCCTCGCGGGCACCCCCTTCACCCGGTCCTCTTGATCATGCCATTTCCCTCTGGCTTGCTTGTCGCCGCCCGCCACCGAGGTAGTAGGGGCGCCGCGGCGACCCAATAAAGCATCACGATGCTCATTACTCATCGAACATCCAAATGCATCCTCATTGTGTGCAGTTGTTCATAGCTAGGTCACTTATTTAGAAACGCGGTAAAGATGCAGGCACTCAGATGCATCCTAGTGATAAACTAAGCAATCCTCGAAATGATCTGGCTAAAAGTCTATCAAATATCGCGGATCAATTCTGTCAAAAAGGGTGTTGTCAGATAGATCAACCCTTGACATTGGGCAAAGTTAGGCCGCCTGAGCCTTCACTCCCCACGGAGCTGCCGACGCTCGATCATCTCCAAACAGTATATCTGTATATGGAGTGTGTGCTTCCGTTCCAAAAGGTGTCAAGGTAGTGCACTTTGCTCGCATCGTCAAAAAGGCTGATCGACAAAACCCTAATCCATCTCCTCTCCACAAAACCACATATATACCACTAGTATATTAGTTACTGCATGATGATTTTCCGGCTGGTCTGGCACGATTAGGACGGGGGGATTAACGACTCACGGTCAGGCACCAGTGGTTAGCGCGTGCTCGTCGGTGCTAATCGTGCGCTGGCGCTGATTAGCTGCCTAGTTAGGCCATCGTTGGAGCCTCAAGCTAAACCAGCTGACAGATGGAGCAGTTCAGCCCCGTGTATATTACTCCCTTTGTTGTAAATCAATTATACTTGGAACTGCTTCTAGCTTTGTCTTAGGGCCCTGATAAGTGCCACATGTATAGCATGAACACATGGCAACTCAGAACATTTTTTATGCCCAGAGTGCTTCGTGCCACACGTGTGACACTTATCATTTGGGTTGTCTTAAGTTCTACTGTCCAAGGCCTCTTTGAGTTGAAGGGTTTTTCCAACAAATTTTGAACATTTGGAATCCCTAAGAATTTTTATTATTCGAAAGGGCGCGACATCGTGTTATCCTATGACTTTTGAACATTTTCCTAGAAACAAGCCAAAATCATCTAGGATTCAAAAGGGCATGACATCGTGTGATCCTATGACTTCTTTCACTCATGTGTTTTTAAAATCCTATGAATCAAAGATGCCCTTAATTTTGACCAGGTATGTATAAAAATATGCTAATATCGACAACATTGAATATGTATAGTATGAAAATATATTGAGATTGCGAAAAACCTAATGAAACTAATTTAATATTGCCGATATTAGCATATTTTTCTGTAAACTTGATCAAACATAATAAAAGCTTAACTTAGAGAAAAACTAGAACTTTGAGTAATTTGAAACGAAGGAAGTACGACTAATCAACTCACACTGCCACTTTCAGAGCTAGCTGCTAGACTAATCAACTCACACTGCCACTTTCAGAGCTAGCTGCTAGCTAAAGTACAGATGTTAATCAGGCTCCAGCCGACTGCTCTCTTTCATTATATGCACTTTAGGCAAGTGTCAGCTTCAACCTTTCATCAACATGTTGATAATCTTTTAACTAGTATAATTAAGTTAACCGCGCGATTGATTAGAAGGGGGTGCAGCCGGTACTCCCACGCGATTGGCGCTGGCCAGCAATAGACGCACGAGAGAGCTAACGCGATATGATTAAATAGGATGATGTGTCGGTCTGGCATCCATCGTGGAACATTTCGTGATGGGGCGTGGCATATATGTGTACGGCACGATCCAAGTGTGTGCTGCCATGATGCAAGCAACCATGGATGGCACAAAAGAATATATACTACTCCACCAAATGTCACATCTCTTCCACATGTCAAACTCTAGGGTTTTTATCGCCTTTTTGAACGAAAGGGGCAGGCTTAACTGACCAGAGTGTTTTTTTAGCTCATCCTTCTATCTAGGCCATTCAGCTTTGCATCAAGATCCGTCCTCCCTTGCTATAGAAGTTTTTTTTTTACTTTGGTGTGACATAAACATCTAGAAGGAGGGAGTTTAGACCAAGATTTATTATTACTTTCATATTTATGGTGTAGCAAGAAATTGGAAAGATCTCTGGAAAGTGTGAGCATGCACGGTTACACTTCCACGGGGCGGCCAAGACAACAAAAGAAACCTAAATCTCATGCTGGATCTTTTAATTTGTTTGTGGCATGCTTTTGTTTGGTACTAATTTCTTAAATAAGCTCCCCTTTTCGACGAGTTCCTTAACTAAGTACGTGGTGCTTTTGCGAAGCTCGATCACTAGTCATATCCGTTAATAAAAAGTGGTTGAACATATGTATGAAGATCCACTATACTCTAGCTAAGTGCAATATGAGGTTAAAAAGTGCAACCACTGTTTAATTATTTAATCGATTGATTAATTCCACTGCTTCCCAAGTGGTCTAGGTAGTGAGCATATAAATTAGGGAACCTAATCACCAAATTGCCAATTAAGAGCAAAAGCTGGCTCAACTTGCTGGAACCGGAAATATCACACACCACACGGCATACGTGCATGCATGTTGCCCTGCAAGCAGCACGCCAAGTGGAATGGATCTCCCAGCCCACTATCTAGCTAACGATCGACATGCATGAAATATCTACATTTAGTAGTAGTTCTTAAGGCGGCTACTAATTACCGCAAGTGGATAGTTAATTACTCAAACGCATGATCTGATTTGTCCTCCTCGATTGTGTATTCAAAGTAGTACTCCATCCGTTCAGCGACACTTATTTTGGGACAGATAAACTAGTTGTTAGGATATTAAACACCTTTTATTAAGCTTAATTCCAATATAGTAACATGATGAGTACAATAGCATATCACAGTTACATCTAGGCATCGAACATTTTTGCATATGAACCATGCGTGTTGGGTTGGGAAGTCCTTTTGCTCCTCCTTCCTCTACGTAAGCTCTCCTTATGTATCCTTTCATAAGAAAAGTTTCATCAACAAGTTCAAGCATATATTGACACATATACCTAGAGATTTACACTAGCAAACAAATGACTCTTCTGACAGGTAGCGTATGTACCACTAGCTCGAGCTCGATTTACGCGACACATGTCTGGTTGGGTGAGTCAGATGGGTGGGTGGGTGTGCGCTCTTGCTCTCTTTCCTCGTGTTATAAGGATTGGAGCACATATATATTTATAAATGGTGTTTTCCTCGTCCACTTGTAATGTGGGGTCAAACTTTATACACATAATATCATTCAAGTCAAACTGAGCCTATGAGATTTCATGATTTTATCGGGTTGATCTACTCCCTCCGCCCCATAATATAAGACCAGTGCCAAAAAAGGTCTTATATTATGGGGCGGAGGGAGTAGATTTTAGTGGGCCGGGGCCCCTAATTTGGAAAATAGCATGTATTCAGTTGGTAATTAGCACAAGGAAGGAGTTAGGAAATGTACATGCTCGATCGATCAGCTAAGAATGGTGGTATGCAGAGAGAGTTTCAGACAGACAGTTGGGCACTCTGCCTCTCGGCATGCATACGTCAGGCATGACCAATCTAGCACGCTAGCTAGCTACCGCGATGAAGGAGAAGAAATGCTTCTACTAATTAATCTCCAGAGAAAAAGGGGTCAGCTAGTGAGCTAGCAAATGCGTCCAACTTGTAGTAGTTATCTGCACTCCTACTAGCTAGGCATATGCAAGCTCGACCAGCCGGCCGGCGACTGAACATGTCGGATGATCACAGCCTCCGATCGATCCCATGGGGGTTAGCAGCTAGCTAGCTAGCTAGCAAGCACATATAGCTCCGTGAGGCTCTGATCGATCCAACGTACTGTCTACACGTTGCACAGACAAGAGCGACTGACCAAATCCACACTAATCGCCTTTGGGCAGACAGCAAGCAGAAAGAGAGATCTATTCACAAAACTTATTCTCAGTGCCCATCTTTCTTAATTACAGTAATTTCTCATTAAATCCTAGCTAGCTAGTATACATTCTGTATTTCTGTCTGACCCACGCTTTTAAACTGACGGGCTACATCGATCGATATATAGATAACCTATATATGCTAGGTTCTGAAAATTTGTGTGTACTAGTCTAGTCCCATCGATGACTTAACATGTATTGCCGTAAGTGCACGCAGCGTCAGATTTCACGGTGCCTTTAGTTTTGCACCTCCCGATCGATTTGGCTGCATGCATGCAGATGATGGATGCGGTGGTGATATGATGCAGGGTGATTGTGTTGTTGGCAGCTTCGCTCCCTGTCAGTCTTTACCACTTGCTTGCATTATCTGTCTCGAAACAAAACAAAAAAGTAGCTAGAGACGATACAGAAAGGATCGTACGTAGGAGGATGATCGCCTTTGGTCGTTTCTATACATGGATAAGTTCATCGAGTCCAGATAATTTCAGGTAGCGGGGAAAGTATATTAAGCAATAATAGGGCCTCACCGTCTTCCAGTATCAAGACCTGAAACTAATACAATTAGTACCAAAACAAGAAAAATGACTTGGGTATTTGAATGCAGTTTTGTTTCCCAAGTAACGGGCATCGGTGTGTATGAACTCTTTATGTTTGTTTCGCCTCGCGATCTGACGTTAAGAGAGTCAATAACATCTCCCATTTATCAAAAATCTGATCGTTTTCGTCGATTGCGACTGAAATCAGTTTTGTTGTACTCGATCGTTTACTCGCACCCACGTGATACAACCCACCCTTGAGTGAGTGCATCAGTTTCAGTTGCAGAATGATTACAAACGATCGACATGATCCATCAGTGATGTCTTGAGCCTGCGTCAGCACCAACATCTACATCCTCCTTAAGTCCTACAAGAAGTCAGTCACTACTTCCTCACCTAATCTGGCTCTTTCTTTCTTTTGCTGGGTATACAGTCTACTGTTAAGGTTCTCACTCATGCTCATCCATGAGATGCATAGTCATTATCTCACTCATCCCTAGCTTAGCTCCATTGATTTCAGGTGTACCGAGCTGTCTCCTTTTGTTTTGTGTTGGCAAAACTACTTGTTCCATGAACGTTATCTCCTACTCCATTGGGAGTTTGGACCCACACGTTCTGTGGTTTGAAATGACGTGATCACTTCTTATCTTACCGTAGTATAAAAATGGTAGGCTAATAACGTGGCAAACTTAACCAAAAGAAAAGGGAACATAAAAAAAATAGAATGGAAGGGCCCAACCGGGTTCGAACCGGTGACCTATTGATCTGCAGTCAATTGCTCTACCACTGAGCTATGGACCCTTTGTTAGGAATTAATTGAACTTGGTAGGCTTTCTTTGTGATGATTAATTAACAATCCTTAATTCAGAGGTTGATAGTGGGGAAATGTGGCATGTTTGCTTCTTCTTCTTTTGTGAAAAGACAGGAGTGTTGTTCTATGGTACTTGTGTTTTTATTTTACTCTCGGAAAGGATTTTGATATTGAAAAAACATATATTCAAAATATATACTCCCTCCTTTCCTAAATACAAGTCTTTTTAAAGATTCCACTATGGACTTCTTGTGAATTCTTGGGTTAAATATATACTAGGAGACCGGCTTTTATTGGCTTTGTGTGTTTTTCATTTTTCTTGTACATACTACATACATGCCTGAAGATACTAGGAAAGGGAAGGGGGAAATAGGTTGCAACTTACCATGAAAACAGGCGACCGCGTTTTATATGTTCACGGGTCAAAAGTTCATTCGAACCAGATACATAAAATACAATGCATGTATTTTGTTAGTATCCTTTTGAATACTCACATTTCAGACATAGATACCATTGTATAATACAATAATTCGATCCATAGAATCGACATTGCATATGACATAATCGCGTCAATTTTTTCCATATTTCTTCATAGTAATACAATTATTATTGGTGACGAAGATCTTTCTTTTCTATCAATAGATAGGAATGAGTGTTCGTTATAGGGAAAGAATCATATATAATTTGATACATTTGTTTCTCAAAGTACATTAGCTACGTAGAAAAAAAATGTTTCGTGCATGCATATTTATCACAAATGTAATTCAACCAAAGGAATAAAAGCTGTGCATTAGAGTGGACCAAATGCAATCATTAACTACGTACATTTGAAGCTAAATTTTCAAGAGTCTAGTTTAATGCCTCACCATTTGTTATGGATTTCAATGCAGATTAAAGGCGAAGATTAGAAGGTGCCCCTTCAATCAAAAAGGATAATATAGACCTGTGTATCCAAATGAATCTATTAAATATGTTTGATCTGCAGGCTAATATGGCAACAACCTTTTCAAGGGTGTACCAAAGCAAATTCTAGTGAAGTTTGCATTGGTTGGATTCCAGGAGCTTATACTTTCCTATGTTGGTATACAAAGAAAATGACCTAGATATTTGACTGTTGTCATATTGTGTTCATACATACATACCTGTTGTTCCTACGAACACATGCCCGACAACTGGCATGAACTCTTTATGTTTGTTTCAGATCGATTCAACGTTAGCAGAGTCAATACAATCGCCCCCTTTTATCAAAAATATGATTGTTTTCGTCGATCACGACTGAAAGCGGTTTTGTTTTTCTCGGCGGTTTACTCTCACCCACGTGATACCACCCACCAATGAGTGAGAGCATTAGTTTCAGTTGTAGAATGATTACACGCGATCAACATGAGCCATCGTTCATGTCTTATCTTAAACTATGTCTTGTGTGAAATCCTGCAGCGTCAGCACCAACATCCTCCTCCCTTGATGCAAGGAGTCAATCGATCACTAGTTCCTCACCTAATCTGCATTGCTCTTTCATTGCTGGTACAGTGTACTACTGTTAAGGTTATCATTCATGCTAGCTGCTGAATCAGATGTATGAACGAACGAACGAATGAGTGAAGTCATTAGTCTCATCATCTGTCTATCTTAGTAGCTCCATTGATTTCAGGTACTGTCTCCTTTTGTTTTGTGTTGACAAAGTTTGTTCCATGTTTTCTCCTGTATTTCCATTTGGGAATTGGGACCCACATGTTTTCCCCTGTATATCCATTGGGAATTGGGGCATACATGCTAGACTAACTAAGGTGCAAGAATGAGTGAAGTCATTTGGGAAGTTTCAGGTGTAAGAATTTTCTTTTTCCCCTAAAAAAAACTAAGGTGTAAGAACGTTGCAAAAAAGATAAAAAAAATAAAAGAAGAGAAGGGCCCAACCGGGTTCGAACCGGTGACCTATTGATCTGCAGTCAATTGCTCTACCACTGAGCTATGGACCCTTGGATATTTGAATGAGTATATTCAGCAGATATATAAGGTGAATGGTGCATTGATTTTCTGCTTCATTATTTCGGCCACGTTTTTATGGCGTCATTTTCTTTTCCTTTTTTGAAAAAAGACACCTAAACGGCATCTTTTGATTCATATAGAAAAAAGTAAAACACGGAATTACTCCTGTATCCTGTAAGAGAAATTTGTGGCAAACGAACTCCACGGTATGAGTGGATGAAAATGCTTCTCCAAATATAGTGCAAATGACTCCTGAGTGAGGATTAAAATTGAAAATATTCCCGAGGATAAAAATCCCATGAAATTCTATTGCAACAAAGGAGCCCTCGCTATTTGACATCAGCACTGCTATACAGACGACAGTACGTAGACGATTTATGAACGACAACCCATTCAAGCCATCCATGCAAAGCAAAAGTTGTTTGCAAACCGCTGGATGGACCATCGTGCAAGGGTCGTTCACCCTATATGTCGTGTGCACAGCAGTTTCGATTTGACATCCAAAAGGTACCATGCAAATGGATTGCACAACAATATGATATGAACAATCAATATATCATATTGCAATACGACGGGATGGGCAACTACCGATTCACAAACTCAGTGGAACGCAAACAAAACATTCTGAAACTGAAAACTCTCTCCAGCAGACCAGACATATTGATGATCCAAACAGAGGCTACCAGTGCACGTTGTTAGATTAGATACTACAAAGACGTGAATTCATAACATCCAGACTACAGCACCAAACCATTAATCAGTACAGGCAATGCTTGCTTGATAACTGTCTCTTACACACTCCCTGATCCAGAGCATTCGGCATACAAACTAACAGCAGCATAGCGAAAACAGACTCTTCTGGTTTACGCCGAGTCGTCAAACTCATTTCGGGTTCCTGAGGACGATGATGACCGAATCCCCACGGAGGAACATCTTGCTTATGAACCTGTCCTTGTTCACCGGGAGAGCCTTCTTCTTGCCTTTACCAGTCTTTGGAACCTGTAGCGAGCGGAATGGATGTTAGTGGACGCAGCAACACAAGACAAGACAAGGAAACGGTGCATTTAGGGGCTGGGATGTTGTTGCCACCACACACCTCAGTCCACATCTCCCTGACGTTCTCAAGAACCATGTTGCAATGACGATCAAATGCTCTCACGCGACCAAGCAACTTCTTGTTGTTCCTGCAGTTGATAAGCACCTAAGGCAGAAGAGAGGATACATCATTAGAACAACTTGTAACATGGAAAACATCACCTACAGGCTACAGTCAGTGCAAGTGCAGTCACCTAGAGATCTAGGTTTCCCCATATTTGTTACCAAGTAGAAGAAAGAAACCAGTTTATTGCAATTTACATCATAAGCAAACAAAGCAAGCTAAAATCTGTGACAACAAGATGGTTGGTTACTGATACCTTACACCTTGATGCATTTAACGTTGCAGTACCAAAGAGGGCGGCACTGTTACAGAGGACAATTGACTGACGAAAAGGTGCAGAGAAACTATCGTATTTACTTATTATTACACGATTCTGAATTCAACTTCGCAGTATTACGTTGGTAGCACTATAATAAGGGAAACTGATGAGAGGCTGCACAGGAACTACAGTTCAAACTTAATAACTATTTATATACACGATGGTGCATTTAACCTTGCAGTACTACACTATTTACCAAAGGCATATCACGAAAGGCTGCACCAAAACTATGGCTAATTACTCATCTATGGTCAGTGCAAGTGCAGCACCTAGAGGTCTACTTTTCTCGTATTTGTTGCAGTTTACATCATAATCACATCAAGCAAGCTAAAATCTAAATACTTATATATGTGTTGGTGCATTTAACTTTGCAGCATGAAGAAGGGAACACAATTACCAAAGGTAGTTGGTTGAGGAAAGGCTGCAGAGAAACTATAGTATTTACTAGTATATTATACACGATGATGCATTGAACTTTGCAGTATTAAGAGTAGCAGCACTATTACCAAAGGCAACTGATGGAAGTCTGCAAAGAGACTACTGTCAGTGCAAGTGAAGTCGCCTAGAGATCTAGCTTTTCTACAATTGTTACTGAGTAGAAAAAAATTACCAGTTTGCTTGCAATCATAAACACATCAAGCAGGGTAAAATCTGTGATAACATGTTACGTGTTGACGCATTTAACTTTGCAGTACTAAGAGGGCGACATTGTGACAAAGGGCAATTGGTTGACGAAAGGGTGCAGAGAAACCATCATATTTGCTCATCATCACACGATTGTGCATTTATCACACATTTGCGCGATGGTTCATTACTCACACATTTGCGCGATGGTGCGCTTAGCATTGTAGCACTAGGAGGGAAACTACCGTTCGCTTGCACGACAGGATCAGAGGCAACTGGGTCGATTGGTTTTTAAGCAAGTGCACGCACAACCGAGAACACCAGCACTCCAGAAGGGCAGGTGTTCAGTTCAAACAGATATGCAGAAAAAACAGTTAGTACTACTCCTACTACAGAAAATATATGTCCGCGCTAAGCTGAGATCTGAATCAACAGAAGCAAGAAGTCGACCAAACCAACCTGAGTGTTGTTCTTGACGCTGAGCATGAGAATGGAGAGGGGCCCCGTGCTGAACTCCTCCTCCTCCTTCTTCCCCTGCTGCAAGCAACACAAAGACAGAACCAACGACCGTGTCAGTAAGCTGCTGCGATGCATGGGAGGGCCTGCGGCTCTAATAAGTTGCGAGAGCTGGTGGATTCTTACATCGACGGGCGCTACCTCCGCCATGGACGCGACGGCTGGCTGACGGGGCGAAGCTCGGCGACCTGCACGCGGAGCAAACCGAATCAGCGGCGACAGTGAGAGATCCGCGCGGCGAGAAAACCCTAGGTTTCGGCGGCTGCTGCTCGTCAGGGGCGGCGCGTCGTCCCGCGAGACTGTGCAGGCAGGACTACGATAGGAGATGGACGGAGAGGACCTCGTACCTGAAAACCCGGGGGGAACAGCGGGGGCGCGGCGAGGACGGACGGACGGGAGCGGCGAGGAGGCGGGTCGAAGTTTTGGGGAGGGAAAGCGCGGTGGCGAGGGTGCGGCCGGATAGAGAGAGAGGAGGAGGGGGCTTCTTCGCTAGGGTTCTCACGGGCCTGTGGGCTCCGTTCCATTGTCGGCGGCTCGGCGCCAGCGCGAACCGACCGGCCCGGCAGGCGTTAAGACACGCGTAGAAAATAGTGGGCCTTGTTTGTTTATTTGGGCTTTCTGGCCGGTTTTTCCACAGGAAAAAAGACATGCCTAAAAAAATGTGCAAAGCGACGGTCAAAGCCGCTTTGTAGTTACTCCCTCCGTTCCAAATTACTCGTCGCAGAAATGGATGTATCTAGAACTAAAATACATCTAGATACATCCATAGCTGCGACAAGTAATTCGAAACGGAGGGAGTATTTGTGGACCGTCCCTTATAAAAAATGTTATTTGTGGACCAGCGCAATTGTCAAAACAGAGAGTAGAGGGCTTAACGGTGACGTTTGGTTTTGATGATGGTTTTGCTCTGGGTAGTCGGGGTAGAAGTGGCGGGATTGAGTTAATTTACGGGTCAAGAGTTTTTCAAAATACAATACTGATGCGGTTGTGTCCAAAGAAGGGAAGGAAGAATGGAGGTGAACATGCTTCTGTGGCGAGGCTAACAGAAGCCTTTGACAGCAGATCTGTGACACGATGGCTTGACTACCGGGTGAATCTACACTTTCGTGGCTTTGTATTGGAGATTTTAATGAGGTGCCGGAGAGACGAACAAATGGGGCCTAATTTGAGAGATGTGGCTCAAATGGTAGGATTTTGGCAGGCGGTGGATCTATGTGGACTCGATGATCTCGAATACATTGGTGTTGATTGGTCCTTTAGAAAATGAGTGAATGGGCGACAATTGTGTCGAGTTGGGCTTGACAGGGCTTTAGTGACGGTCAACTTGAATTCTATGCTTCCCTTTGCGTCACTACGTCACTTGGTGGCTGCAAAATAGGACCACTGCCCTATTGTGTTATGTGATGAAGTTGAAGCTTCACACATGAGGATAGTTGTGGACCAGCCATTTTGTTTTGAAGAGATGTGGGGAACCCATCATGACTTTGTACAATGGTCGGTAGTACATGGAACGGGTGGCCCGCTCGATTGCTTTGATGAAAGCAAAGGTAGACCGGCTAGTGAGCTACGTCTGACAAGAACTACGGTCACTCGAGAGAAGGTTCATTGAGATGCGCGCGGAACCGAACACGCAACGGCCATCTTACGAGGAAACAAAAATTGAAGCATGAATTATTGAGTTGAACTTCACTGCTGGATTCAATAGCCAGCGGTCGGGCAGCGGCGCCACAACCAGTCACGCACGGGAGCGAAAGGGCTGCGGTTGGGCGTCACGTGAGTTTGCGACAGCCGCCCAAGTGACTAATATTTGGAGCACTTGGTGCCTCATTTTATGGTTGCCCAAATAAAAATGCAAAAAAAAATATGGTTAGACTACTGTTGAAGAGGGTTTTTGCCTCCGGGTGCCCTAAAATAGGGCAGCTATTGGAGGACGGTAAAGTTTGGTTTGTGTATATACACTTTACATGAAAAAAATAGTTAGATAAAAAGTCAAAAAAATGAAAATAAACTTGACCTTTCATTGTACTCGTAAAAAAATCCCACGAAAGAAAAAAAACCGTTGACTTAAGAAATTCAACCTTATTTTAAAAACTTATGAACTTTTTTGAATTTTATAATTATTTTTTTCTCTATATCGGGTTTATATACACCCAGGATCTATATCGGATGTATATACACCTAGGTACCAAACGGCATTTCCCAGCTATCGGAGATGCTCTTATGTCCTGTTCAACACTAATTGCACTATGATGATCCATAAGTATAGGGGATCTATCGTAGTCCTTTCGATAAGTAAGAGTGTCGAACCCAACGAGAAGCAGAAGGAAATGATAAGTGGTTTTCAGCAAGGTATTCTCTGCAAGTACTGAAACAAGTGGTAACAGATAGTTTTGTGATAGGATAATTTGTAACGAGCAACAAGTAACAAAAGTAAAAAAAAAGTGCAGCAAGGTGGCCCAATCCTTTTTGTAGCAAAGGACAAGTCTGGACAAACTCTTATATAGAGAAAAGCGCTCCCTAGAACACATGGAAATATCATCAAGCTAGTTTTCATCACGCTTATATGATTCGCGTTTGGTACTTTGATAATTTGGTATGTGGGTGGACCGGTGCTTGGGTACTGTTCTTACTTGGACAAGCATCCCACTTATGATTAACCTCTATTGCAAGCATCCGCAACTACAACAAAAGTATTAAGGTAAACATAATTATAGCATGAAACATATCGATCCAAATCAGCCCCTTACGAAGTAACGCATAAACTAGGGTTTAAGCTTCTGTCACTCTAGCAAACCATCATCTACTTATTACTTCTCAATGCCTTCCTCTAGGCCCAAATAATGGTGAAGTGTCATGTAGTCGACGTTCACATAATACCACTAGAGGAGAGACAACATACATCTCATCAAAATATCGAACGAATACCAAATTCACATGACTACTAATAGCAAGACTTCTCCCATGTCCTCAGGAACAAACGTAACTACTCACAAAGCATAAACATGTTCATAATCAGAGGAATATTAATATGCATATAAGATCTGAACATATGATCTTCCACCAAATAAACCAACTAGCATCAACTACAAGGAGTAATTAACACTACTAGCAACCTACTAGCACCAATCCCGGACTTGAAGTCAAGAATTTGATATAAGAGATGAACTAGGGTTTTGAGAGGAGATGGTGCTGATGAAGATGTTGATGAAGATTGCCCTCTCCCAATGAGAGGAGCGTTGGTGATGACGATGGCGATGATTTCCCCCTCTGGGAGGGAAGTTTCCCCGGCAGAACAGCTTCGCCAGAGCCCTAGATTGGTTCCGCCAAGGTTCCGCCTCGTGGCGGCGGAGTTTCGTCCGAAAAGATGGCTTATTATTTTTTTCATCGAAAGACTTCATATAGCAGAAGATGGCCACCAGAGAGCCACCAGGGGGCCCACGAGGTAGGGGGCGCGCCCCCACCCTCGTGGGCAGGGTGTGCCCCCCTGGTGAATCTCTTCCGCTGAGTATTTTTTATATATTCTGAAAACGTCTTCTGTGAAGTTTCAGGACTTTTGAAGCTGTGCAGAATATGTCTTTAATATTTGCTCCTTTCCCAGCCCAGAATCCCAGCTGTCGGCATTCTCCCTTTTTATGTAAACCTTATAAAATAAGAGAGAATAGGCATAAGTATTGTGACGTAATGTGTAATAACAACCCATAATGCAATAAATATCGATATAAAAGCATGATGCAAAATGGACGTATCACACTACACTAAAATACTATGTGTATCTTTTGAATATAGTGCACATCTTTAAGTACTTGCATATATTTGACTCCCTCTATTTTTTTATTTGAACAGGAGAAGGGTCCAGAAGGACCCTGAAGCTGCATTAATATTGAAACAGTGGTAGTACACAACACATTAAATAAGGACCCATAAGCAGACCTAAACTGCAAACAGTCCCTTACTTTTACAAAGAGAACCCTAAAACATAGATGGAAAACACGATCGGGTCCTCAATACCCTCACCACGGACACAGCTCCATCGTCGTCGGGGACGACACCACTTGGGACGGCGGAGCTTCCATGACACCTCGTCCCAGATTCCACAATGATGATGTACTGCCTCTGATTTGGCAACTTGGCCTGGAGGAAGAAGAAAAGCCGCCCTACCAAGCAGTCATGGCCTGGAGGATATGGTGATGTGATGAAGCCAACCGGCGACCAAACGAAAACAGATAGAGCTGGTACTCCGAACTTGACTCTCAACAAAAAAAATACATGAAGAGAGGAGAGCTTTCGAGAGGGAGCGAGGTTTGCCAATGAGGGTGGAGTTCCGTGAGTGGATATTTGACTCCCTCATGGTTGAGCTCTTCAAAACGGTTCCAAAGACGGATATATTTTATCAAATTATGGACCAGAGCTAATATGGACCGATGGCGCATATGAACATGATTAGTACAAAGTTGTTCGATATAAGATTTTATATTAACAAAGGTTGGAATCTTGAAAAGTGTAGTACTAGTAGTGCTTGGAATCCATGGTTTTGTACAAGTGGCCTGAGAGAGAACTGGTTATATATGGCTTTATGGGACAGTACTGCCCAAAGCCCAAAGGTAAACAAGTTGTTAGGAAAAGCTGGACACCAAGCAGTCAACTTGGGAAGCTACCTACAAAAATTTGCAATAAAAGTTAGGAAAGTAGGAGTACTCGCGACATTGGGTTTCAGATGTTGGCATCTGGTGTGCATGCTTTCTCCAACCAACCTATATCTCTCTCTCTCTCCCTCTTTCATGTGCTTTGCATCGTTGCGTGTGTACGAGAGCATTCCATTCGAAGAAAGGTCATCAAGCGACGCTTTGGCCGAGTGGTTAAGGCGTGTGCCTGCTAAGTACATGGGGTTTCCCCGCGAGAGTTCGAATCTCTCAGGCGTCGTTTCCTTTTTTGTTTCGCCATATTTTTCTCTGGATGGGCCACAATTACTAACGTGGCTCTGGTTGCCCTTGGGCCCACCGAATGACAGTATTGGTTTTATAGAAGGACTTGTTGTTTTTATTGTATTTTTCTCTCTTTGCTCTTCTGATTAATAAAAAACAATACGTTGTTGCTTTTGGCGTACTGTTCGGTCTATAGTATTGCGTACTTGTATGAGAATAATCGAGTGG